GAGTTATTGAATTATCTTTTAAGAAAATCAAGAAAGTCTTACGATCAGTGACAGTCTGTGTTGCTATGGTAACAGCTAAACATTACTATCTGTACAAAAACTTGCAGGAGTTTCAGTTTATTTCAGATTTCAACTTTTATCATTTTTATCGTAGAATCTGAGGAAAATAAATTTTTTTATATGAACAATTGATACAGACTGAACTTCCAGACTGTTGTCTGCTGAGGAAGGAAGGTCAAATTTTCTCAAGGTCATAAAGTTATTATTATGGGATGTATATCGGACTGTTTGATGATATTCCCTACATTGCCTCTTTGTTTTCTCACAGAACTTTTGTTTGCATATCTTTTCTTGGCACTCTTAATGAGAGTCTATATGTCAAGATGTGTTCAAGACAAAATGAGAAGTATATGTGTAGCCAGGTTTCCACTCAGATACATCAAAGTTATTGTTTTCACATGTTTGATGCAGCTCTGAAAATGAAGCTGTCTGTCTGAGGTTACAAAGTGTATTCCTTATGGTGTTCTAGCTGGCACAACTTTGGTAAAAGAAGAATAAGCCAATTTCAGAAGTACTATTTGTTCAGGGTTAAAGGTTATATAGGCAATGAGGTCAAAGGTCAAGCACTCAAGATGTCTTTGAACTTGGAGATTGAACTGATAGTTTGTGAATGGACTCCGAGAAGAAGTACTTGAAAATAATTGTTTTTCTATCCCAAAGAAATAATATTGTTTAGAGTTTGCTACCAGATTGACAAAAACGATGTTCCTGCAAGTGTAGCCAGTGGAGAGAACTAACTGAATCCACATGGCAGACAAGACTAATGTGATATATATTACGAGATTTTCATATTTCGTATGGGTGATGTCATGTGGTATACTATGGGTTTATATCAAATTACCAGTCAAATGATCGCTATATTTCTTCACTCCAATATAAATGAAGTGTCGTTTCCAGTGAGGACATACCAGACTTAACCCAATTTGTACCAGCTGGAGATGAAACAGTTTTGGTGATTAGACAATGAGCTTTCTTCTGTAAAAAATGTCAAAGTTGAACCCTGATGTTCCAATGGAGCTTAGAATGAGTGTCAGATTTCGTAGCTATGTGTGGATGCTATCTGTACAAGTTAAAGTTGATGAAACTGTTAGAATCTGTTTACAGTTATATTGCCAATCCGACTCCATTTTATCAATTTGTGTATAGTTAACCAATTTGTATAGCATTTCAGATGGTACAAATTGTAGTATAATGTGGAATTTCTTCTGTATGGATACTCTGTGATGCAGAATTCCTTAAACACTTGAACTGGTGAAAATAGGGACTAACACATGTGTTTATAATGTAGGATCTGTCATCATCTTCGCCTCATTTTCAAGTTGACACATTTTGACCTGTCAACTGTCGTTATTCCAGTCTGTAAGTGACTGTGTCCGAGGAATGTTTCTCTGGGCGGTCTAGAGAATGAAACTAACTAATGCTTCATCAAGGCTGTAGATGAATCAGTTGTGACAATTATTCAACTGAAACATTTCAGGAGATTTTTTTATGGCGGGGACGTCTGCTCTGTGGTAATTAGTGAATATACTGTTATGAAAACTGTCAGTGATGCTTTACTATATGCTGTGTGAAATAACTGTTTATATGACCTTTTTACTGTGTTCATTCAGAAATCGCTGTCGTAGTCTGATACTTACTATCACAGGCCAACCTGAAGTTCATTCACTAGTTCCGATGTTCCTGTACTCCTAAAAATAAGTGAAAGATATGACTTTTTGATGTGTATATACAATTCTGTGGAATCATATTTACAGAACACTACAAGTTTCTTCAAAGTGGATTTTTGTGTTCCTGCTGAAAGGCTTATGACTGTTTTATGTGTGAAAGATATCTACTCTAACATAAACAAAATGACGTAGAGTTCATACGAAATGAGGTTGTTGTGCATTGGAGAAGATATATGATAATTACAGTTTGAGAAGATTCACTGGAAAGAAGTCGTAAACTGTTGCTTATTGTAAGGCTTCACATGTGTGTGGTTTTTTTTTAAGAAAAATGTGTTTTGATTGATACTGGAAAGTGATGGTTTCACTCACCAGAGATAAAGTACGAAAATGATGCTGAAGTCTTGGCATTGAAATATAAGAAGTGTTATGTGTTATGCCAATCATATGGTAGAGAATTTTGATAGATCTTAAAAGAAACATTTTTTCTTTCGTTTTATGAAAATTAAATACTTTATGGATTCTGAATACAAACTTTCCAGAAGAAATGTCAAAAGGAGAATTAGAGACAGTTTAATTACAGATCTGAACTTAGAAGAAACTAATGAGGAGATTCCGATTGAATTTTATCTAAATTCATTGTTGAGTTGTTTTAACCTGAACTTTGTAAGATACAAACACTTCTCTTGACCAAACTGGTTGCTAAGGCGGCCATGACAGTTTACATGTTGATGGAGATACTGACATGTCCCTAGTTACCTATGGATTCAGGGTCAGTGTTGGCATTTACTTTGTTTATATAATCTAGACCCATGGTGTGGAACTCTCTAACCAAAAAGGAAGCTGGTTTTACCATACTGTAGTCTGGAAGTTCAGGTGAATTTTTTTCTAACCAACCATAAGCTTGGAAAGTGGAAATTAGATTTAATGTGAAATGTATGCAGATAGCTAAATCTGTTCAGCCTGGATAAACTACATTCCAAGACTACATTTTATTTTCTGTGGAATATACTCTTTTGTAGAGAAGTATATGATAATTAGAAAAAATTAGAATATAGAAGTATTGGATCCTAGGAGGCATTAGCCCTGTGGAACAACGTAAGCCCACATTTCAAAATGTTTCTACGAAGGATGTAACTAGATAGCGTTATCATGATGCGTTACAACTGAATCATCTCGTTTGATGGAAGAAAAATAGATTTCAGACATTTTCGTTACATTATAATGCAATAATGCTAGATTTAACAGGATATACTATTGTGAAACCATTAACATTTAAACTGTTACCATAGTAACTTCTACAAGGATAAAATTCTGTTGCTATATAGGTAGAGTTTGTGAGACAATCTGTTTTCTTTATTCAGGTAGCATTTTTTCCTATATTTTTAAAGAGAAAACCAAACAGAACAATCAGCTCTGGATATTGTCTAAGCATCAGCTTAGTCAGACACATGACATTTTAAATCTTGTTTTGTTAGGGCCAACAACTTAAAGTCAATTTGGAATGAGCCAGTAGCATTAATGGAGGTTTGATAATATCTGTGTCACATCTGTGAAGTGTTTCCTCTGATACAGGTTGGATAATAACACTGGTTTTTATTCCTTTTGTCTGACTTATTATCTGTACTGTTGACCGAATTGTCATCATCAGTCCTTCATCACCACTTCATCACCACTTCATCATTATGGATACAAAAATTAAAGGATTCCAAGTGCCAGAATGATGGATTAACAACAAAAAATCAGCTGTGCTAAACTTTGGATTTAAAAAAAAATATCTGGGCCGTGACTGAAAAAAGGGTAAAATCCAGGCCAAGATATGTTAGGTTGGATGTATTAAGTGTCATCACAATGATGAAGTTCTAACAGAAGACTGGCAATTTGGAAGTTTTTAAATTTTGGAAATCTTGATTGTTTAGTGTAGAAGATAAAGGTCGCCTGAATAGGATATAATGATGTGTCTGGTGATTTGGATAAAAAAAACTTTGAAATATAGGTTATAGCTTCAATGACTCTCCACCAACATATCCTGGTGTTTATGTGACTTCTACAACAGGTGATTACAAAAGTAGAACCTCAGGAGACAGGTAAATCTGTTGTCACAAGGGAATTGATGCTGCTGAGTCCTTATGGAACTGTGGCTAGGGGTGGTAGATTGGGCAGTACTTATACTCAACATATGTTACAGGCATGTTGTAGGTGATTATCTGTGAAACTGTTAATCTGTTACATTGAGGGATGTGTTAAGGATCCTGGTATTAATCAGACAAGTTAATGTGTGTTGTAAGTGTGTGATACACTCTGTTTGACTGGATTATACAGAAGTTGTAATACAGACATGAGAGTATGTGTATTTGTATCCACCTAATCAGTGCTTAAATTCTCTAATCATATCTTTACATTTAGAGGATTGTTTGGAAGCACTTTCAAATTTTGTTCCAAACCTTGATTTAATATGGCTATTCATTGGTGTTAAAAATATTTTGACATATCGATAATATGTAGTTGAACTGCTTGTTAGCTCTGTTATCCTGGTGCTTCAATTTGTTAATATAAAAATCTTTCAATCATAAAGAAACTTTAGAACTTGTGTCTTACGTGTGTGTATAGTGTATTCATTTTTGACAAATATCTGTTATCACACTGAAAGTTTGTGCAGGAAACAGTTAAACTAAGAATTGGTGGGAGCTAGTACATTCACAGCACATTTACCCCGGGCAGGTAGATATATAGGTGTGAAAGTTAAGACTAGGGTTAGTGATAAGAGTCTGACCAGGTAATGTACTGATGCTGGGGATGTAGCTGTTCTCCTACACTCACTGCTTGTCCAGTGTTTTCTGTGTGAAGTAGGGGGCTGTGTAAAGTGTACCTCCAAGCTGACTAGCTGCCAACACGCTATACATACAAATAGACCCACAGATTGGGAACGCATTGATGAGGAAATCTAAGGTATAACCATTTCAAAACAGGCATCGGGATGTTTAGTTGGTGCGTCAGGTTTTAAAATTCACCCAAACTTGGATGGTTCAAAGAAAGCACCCCGGAAATCTTGAATCAGTATCCGGGTATGATGATGGACCACACCCCTTCCTAACTGGAGTACTTACCCCAGGGCCTTGTATTGGCTAAAGATTGACATTGTTATCAGTGAGCCTAAAACATGGAAACATGGCAAAATACCAGCAGTTATGTTTAAGCTGTTACCACGGTTACCAAAACACAGAAATTTGTAAACCGCAAATACCACAAGTATCGTCAAAGTGAAAGTACAGTATAAAAACACGATACAACATGCTGAAATTTGTTTCACGAAAACCTCCGAAAGGAAAAGCAGGCAGTCAACACTATCCTGACTACCATAGCCAAGAGACACAGGCTCCTAAAGGTCACCAGACAAGGCTTTTTCGCGCGAGGGCATCTTCAGGAATGAAAAGCCCTCCAAGTTTCGACCCCTTAAGGGGGGATAAGTCTCATATACACACGTCAGATAATGCAGGAAGGGACAGTTTGGGATATGACGCAACCAGTGAAAGTCAGACAGATTGTGTATATGATAACTTGGACAAGGTCAGAGAAAGGTCAAGGCAAATACAGGAAAATGGTCAGGATATCAGTTTTGACTCCTCTGACCTTACAAGGTCAAGGTCACCAAGCAATTTGAGTTCTGAGTCGTCACCTTATGGAAGTTTACGCAAAAAACATGAAAAGAATCAGGACCCACGGCGAGGTGGTCATGGATACCGTCATGTGACATGGAGTCCTGATGTCACCAATGGTGACAATTTACCAATGATAAGTGAGAAATATGTATCTGCACCTGCAGGAAACTTACACTACAAATCTCCTTACAATTTGGCAACGAGGACTTACATGGCTGACGACTATGTCCATAAAAAACCTGATTTGTCACATATACGTTACACTGTTGGCAATGTGAAAGATTGTATACAAACAGTTCCAGGACCAGACATACAAGGATCTGGAAGGACTGTCAACATGGCAGAACAATTTAGGGGAGACAAGCGTACGAATGTGTCAGATTTGTATACCTCGCATAATAAACCAATGCAATCAACATCATTGAATTCGACCGATTCAAATTTGAGTGACATTCATATAGGACCACGTCAATTTCCACGGGACCTTGACCAATCTCTCGGTGAACAATCACTGGTAACTGACGGTGCCCCAAATTATGCTTATTATACAACACTACCAGCCAATTTTAGCATGCGATCAAACTTTGTGTTCTCCCCGCGTGTTTGTAGCACTCCTATTAAGGATTTGTCGAAAACAAAAGATAGACCAAGACTAAAAGTCATCATTCCACCGAAGGATAGTGACTTTTTAACGACCAATCAGCACACATTCCAAAGTCATGTGACCAACCCATGTGCATCAGATGGAGTGACCATAGATGGAAATGATGAATATGACAATATTGCCACAGATCAAATAGAACGTCACAGAAGGAAAACGAGCGACATGGCACGACAGGATGTATTTAAAGCAGATAACATTTCTATTACACACCAGGATGGGGGACCATCACAACAATCTAAAACTAATTACCATGGGCTGTTTACACAGTCAGAACCAAATAAAAAAGAACATCATATACAACGCTCTAAACAACCAGATAAAATGGATCATGGTCAAAAACACGTTCGTAGGGGATTTCCACGACTTTTTCTCCCGAAAGAAAAAACACCGAAAAAAGCTCATCCAGAAAGTCATCCTGAAATGGTTGCCATGACATCTGGTATATACAGTCAACCAGCTGTAAGTGGACATCCCATCACTGGCACTACCACCACCAAGGAATCAACAGGATTTCAGGATAAAAGGGATGGACATTATCACCATTTTGACAGTTTAGTGAGAGCTCCTAGGATAATTCCTGAGTCAAAAAAAGTGGAAACTGGTCCAGTTCTGTATCAACAGATACAAAAAGGAGCTGAGGGGCCAGGTAAAGGAGGCCACTTAGGGAAGAGTTACATGAAACAGCCTCCCACTCATACTCCTCAGGAGAGACAAGAAAGGGGACAATACTCAGTGGGGAGGTTCAAAGAACAGACCTCGTCACACAAGGTAAGTAGACATATGCTGAGTAGAGATAATCTGAAAGGGAGATAACTTCAGTTAAGTAAGATACCTGTAAGGGAGACAACTTCAGTTAAGTAAGATACCTGTGTGAGAGATAATTTTAGTGAAGTTATTTAGATGGCCTGTATACAAAGTAAGGGAAACAATGGTGGATAGAGAATTTTCTACTTGGTCTATACGATTTGGGATTTGTTGCTTTAGACATGATGTTAGATTTCATGAATAGGCAAAAAAATTGAAATGATATTAAAATTGTGAATAATTAGTCACATCATCTACTATTCCATTTTGTTTTGTTCGCTGCAAAGAGGAGAAAGGAAGAAGTAGTGTTAGTGGGGAGTCTCCTTGAAAGAGAAAAGAGAAAGAAGGAAGTAGTGTTAGTGGGGAGTCTCCTTGTAGAGGAAAATGGAGGAAATAGTGTTACTGTAGTAGAGGGTGGTGACCAGGGTTCTGAGGGTAGAGTTATTATTGTAAACCATCTCTGTCCAGGCTAAATAGATGGGCTTTATCTTCTCTGTAATCTTACTACATGTAGGTTTCAATCCATCAACCCTCTACAGGGGGTCACTACCACACATGTTGTATATTGTACATAGTGGTCAGCTACCACCTGTCTGTCTTGTGTAGTAAAGTTAGATTTCTCTCTGTTATGAGCTGAAAGGCAGAAAGGTCATAATAATGGGTGTAAAACCCTAAAACCCTTAAATAAATTAATAAATAAATAGGGACTTGAGTCAAGATAGGGTCTTAAGGAGGTGATAGAGGACTTGTAATGAGTCAGGATGGGGGTCTTGAGGAGGTAATAAAGGGCTAGTTAGGAGTCAGAATGGGGTCTTGGGGTAGTAATAGAGAGCTTGTTAGGAGTCAGGATGGGGGTCTTGAGGAGGTAATAAAGGGCTAGTTAGGAGTCAGAATGGGGGTCTTGGGGTAGTGATAGAGGGCTAGTTAGGAGTCAGGATTGGGGTCTTGATGTAGTAATAGAGGGCTGGTTAGGAGTCAGGATGGGGGTCTTGATGTAGTGATAGAGGGCTGGTTAGGAGTCAGGATGGGGGTCTTGATGTAGTGATAGAGGGCTGGTTAGGAGTCAGGATGGGGGTCTTGATGTAGTGATAGAGGGCTGGTTAGGAGTCAGGATGGGGGTCTTGATGTAGTGATAGAGGGCTGGTTAGGAGTCAGGATGGGGGTCTTGGTGTATGATAGAGGGCTGGTTAGGAGTCAGGATGGGGGTCTTGATGTAGTGATAGAGGGCTGGTTAGGAGTCAGGATGGGGGTCTTGATGTAGTGATAGAGGGCTGGTTAGGAGTCAGGATGGGGGCTGGTTAGGAGTCAGGATGGGGGTCTTGGGGTAGTGATAGAGGGCTAGTTAGGAGTCAGGATTGGGGTCTTGAGGTAGTGATAGAGAGCTAGTTAGGAGTCAGGATGGGGGTCTGGGGGAGTTATAGAGGCCAATTAGGAGTCAGGATGAGGTTCTTGGGGTAGTGATAGAGGGCTGAGCAGGTGGTCAGGATGGGGGTCTTGAGGGAGTGATAGAGGGCTAGTTAGGAGTCAGGAGGAGTTTTTAGGATGCTGATAGAGGGCTGAGCAGGTGGTCAGGATCAGGGTATTTGGGTGTTAAAATTGAGTAGTGATTGGGGTTAAGAGTCAGGATAGAGATATTTAGGCAGTTTAATTACCAGTAAGTGAAGCAAATTTGAAAAAAAAAAGTATAGGTGCACCTGGTAATACTTGCATGTCTCCATCTGAGCCAATTAGGAAGATGTTTGTTGTAAAATGAATGAATTTGTATCAGGATTTGGAGGGAGAGATGATATGGATTGGATAGAGATGTGAGGGACAGGAAATGGAAGGGAGGGTTTGATAGTTTGGGGATGATACCTTTGTCTGCAGTGTCTTCAGAAGCTTACCATATCTACCAAGTACAAATTTGATGTCATTACAAATACATTTACAGAAATTATGAATAGTGTGTGATACAGAGGTATAACGTTTAGATCAGGACTTGAACTGGTCTCATTTATAGATAATGATAGTTTTGTGTTAGTTTGAGGATGGAGGAGGGAGGTGGGAGAGTGAGGGAGGAAGAGGGGGGGCAGCTAGATACCAAAGGGATAAATAATGACAGAGCCAGTTAAAGAAGCTCAGGGCTAGACCAAGGGGAGGTGGGGGGTTGGGGGGTGTTTAGGGGTGGATACCTGAGAGATTTAATGAGAGAACAGTGTTACAGATGTATGGGACTAGACCTGGGGGCTGGATAACAAACGGAACACCATAACAGCATAACTAATTATTACCAGTTACTGTCAATAAAAAGAGATGAAGGAACATTGCTATTTGTGATCTGTCAGTGTTGTAGGGCAGAGAGGTTAACTGAGGTTGAGGCTTTTATTTGGTACTTATAGAGGTAACATTTCTATTTCGATCCCTTAACAAACTGCACTCAATTTCTGATTTTTTGGACAGGAAGTCAACATTTATGTACAATTCCAAATTTAAACACGCCTTATCAAATTTTGTATTTTCATAATTGTTGTGAAAGTGTTATTCCTCTAAGTAGATGTATCTTAAAATAGCTAATTTGATGAGGCATTTGATCATATTTCCACACCCTTCAGTTACAAAAATTCTGTTTCCATCTCCGTGGAAAGTGTGTGAGATTTCTCTGCTCTGTACAATACCATGTACACCTCTTTTAGAAATTGATCGTTTGCAATACAGGAATGTATTTAATCAGAAATCAACTGACGTGTCAAGTACAAGTAGTAAAAACATAGAAAAAAACAAATTGGAAAGTTATGCAAACAGTGACAGTTGATCCAAGCATTTACTTAAACCTGATTGAAATGGGTCTTGATTGTCTCCCTTTATATAAAACTCGCAAGACAAAAGTACTTTCTTGGCAATGACAGGTGATATTGCATATCTCTGACCGACCTTATCTCCCAAATTGACATAGAAATATGGCTTTCACTAGACAAAACAGGGAAGGTTTTGGCTTCTTCAGAACAATCTTGGGCACTCTGTGACTTAAAACAGTAGTACGTTAATTGGCTACAATTGAGATAGGCAGAAGATTTTGGATGGTGCTTTCATGTTTTATCAGAAGACCCTTCACCTATGGAGAAATTAAAAACATGAAAATATTCTCAGTCTGGTGTTAAGTTACCATGATAGAGCATCCACAAGCCAGATACGATTCTAAAATACCCTGACCAACTGTTAAAGAATGCTTTAATGGTGATTTCTCTAAATTTAGCACTGGAGATTCGAATGGATCACATACACAATCAAGTGGGTCTAAAATTGAGATTAATGTATTGTAATGGCAATCTTTTCATTAATAATATCTGTTACCTAGTAATATTTAATTATTTTCCTATATTTGATAACAGCCATTTCAAGAAAATAAAGTAAGATAGTACCTCTTATTGAAAGAAATTATCACACATTAAAGCTGCCATTTGTATTCTTTACCAGTGAGTAACATACAGCTATTGGCTTATCATGAGGTCATTTCACAAACTTTTATCCATGGTAAAATGGAAAAGTGAAGTATTCACCTTTGAAGTGAAATTTAACAGGTTCTATTTGTTATATTTGTCACACTGATATCTTACAGTACATTTCCAACTACTTTTCTGGAAGATTAATTCGAGTTTTGAAACTTTTGATGATAGGAGTTTAACTATGTTATATTTAGGATACAAAAAATGGAAGTTTCTCTCGAAATTTTATTGAAGCCAATGCCCGAAATCGCCCCATTGTAAGTGGGATGAAGGTGATTGTTTTTACATCTTTATTTTGTTCTACCTACAAATTGTTTTGGAGAGTCTGTAGATGAGCTAATCAGATTCTGGTATTATTACATATGGATGAGCTTATTACCAGGCTAAATACTTGATCAAAACAATATCACTGCTAACACAAAATGTGGTATATGAAAGTACAAAGATATGTACTTTATCTCTTAATCAAAATGCCTGCAGTGGTTTCGTTTAAATTCAAGCTGAAACGTGTACTTAATATTTTTTATAAAATCTAACGTTAATTATCTCGTTAATCAAGTGAGTAATTTTGTCTAGTAGATGCTGAAAGAAAACATCAGACACTTATAGTCCCATCCTTGTGATGTATAGTGTCATGGTATCGCCATAGGAACACCATCACATGCATGTTCACATTATGTAATGTTAGCAAATCAAACATTCCACTGACTCAGATGATGAGAGGAAATTTAAATCTGAGAAAATCTTTTCTATAAAGACTACATACCAGTATGTTTCCTTAGAACGAAAACATCAAATTGATTCAGATATATAAACAAACGGTCATTACAAATACATTAAATATGCAAGAAAATAATAAAAGTGTAGTTATCTCTTGAAAGCTCTTAGCACAGAGCTTCATGATAGAGGATTCAAAAACAGCTTCTGTTACTACTCCTTCTTAAACTGTTTCTGTGATGATAAAGAGAAAAACATATTACAAGAGTAATGAACTGGCAATTGTATTTTTCATATTTCTTATTTCTATGGTGTAGGTACCATATTTACCTGTCATTAAGCCCATACCTGGTAATAAGACCATCTATATCTATCGCTGGTCATTAGATTTATAAACAAGTGTTACATCGTTGTCCTTCCGATAAGCCCACCCATAGCTATTGCTATTTAGTAGATTAACAAACAATCTGATTTCATCGTCCTCACAAAAGGACACCTCCTTCCTGACTCAGGGTTATGTGTTTTTGGCACCTGGGCTTATTGTGGGATAGATATGGGTATGATGTTAAATTACTATAAATACATACAAGAAGATTTATCAACAAGTCAAACTGATTGCCCTACCCTACTATGTTTCATTATGTTCTGTTTATCTTGTTGTCATTTAAATAGGAAGGTGTTACATACACTGGCAAATCTCAGCATCAAAGAAAAAAATTCCAAATACATGTTTTACATTGCATGTGTTGGATTGAATTTTATCAG